GGCAAAAATTCCAAACGATGAAAATTAGGGATAACAAATGGACCTGTGATTATATTGCCATAGGGAACTCCCAGAGGGGCAAACTCCTCTCTTACCAATGCAAGTTAGCTATCAATAGGCTGTGGTTTAAAATTTTTTTCATGTGTTGGTCCTCACTTACAATTTGCTAAAGATGTCATTACTTTCTTTTTCAAATGGAACTTTAACTTTAGGGGACAATTACTTCCCCAATACCTGGTGGCTGCACTGGGAATGAAGAAGAGCTGAGCAAGGGATTAAGCTGGGAAAGACTTTATTTCCAAAGTGGCATTTAAGGGGCAGCTAGGTGACGCAGTGGATAGAGCACTGGCTCTGGCCTCAGGAGGACCTAAGTTCAAATCCGGCCTCAGATCAGACACTTGACATGTACTAGCTGTGTGACCCTTGGCAAGTCACTTAACCCCAATCCCCCACCAAAAACAAACAAAAAAAAGTTTTGGGGGCAGCTAGGTGGCGTAGTGGTTAGAGCACTGGCCGTAAAGTCAGGAGGACCTGAGTTCAAATCCAGCCTCAGATACTTACTAGCTGTGTGACCCTGGGTAAGTCACTTAACCCCAATTGCCTAACAATAAAAAAAAATTTTTTTAAATCAAAGTGGCATTCAAAAGGCAGCCCCTTCCCCAGCCTTTATTTATGCAACTAGCCCAAGGAAGTAAGCAGCCCCACCATCACTACCTTCTCATGAGGAAGACCTGGTTTTCCACTGCCCAGCCTGAGCATTTTTTCCTCCCATCACAAAAGCTCCAGCCAAGACTAAGGTTAACAGGAGGCATCTATAATAATGTCCTTGTCCTCAAAAAGCAAATGGGCGGACTCTCTCTTTGGGGGTGCAGAGATTTGGGAGGGTAACAAAAATTTAAGGGACCAAGGCTTAGGAAGCCCCAGGAACTTTCAGATGGGGAGGGTTCCAGGACAAGAGCTTTGTCACCCAAGTTGTTCATCTCAGTTTGGCTCACCTGCTTGGCCTGAGGAGGGAAGGAAAGAAAGGATGGAGGTATTGTCCATTGACCATGGGAGCCACTTTACCAAGAAAGTTCTTATAGTCAATTTCACCTAAGTCAGACTACCATATGATACTGACACATCTGTACAGTATTTGATTTATAATAGTTGTTTCAGTCATGTCTGAATCTTTGTGACCCCATTTGGGGGTTTTCGTGGCAAAAGTACTAGAGTGCTTTGCCATTTCCTTCTCTAGCTCATTTTACAGATGAGGAAACTGAGGAAAATAGGGTTTAGGGATTTGACCAGGGTCATACAAGTAGTAAATGTCTGAGGCCAGGTTTGAAAGATGAGTCTTCCTGACCTCAGGCCCTGCACTCGATCCAATTTGCCACCTAACTGCTCTTCTATTCAGAAGCAGTCAGCAAACAGAAGAGGCAACAAAATTTACCAAGGTCTACCACATAGGCTGCTTCCTGTAACCACTTATGTGAACACGCCTGAACCAAAGCATTCTCATGTACAAGGTAGCTGTATCAAAGATGATGGGCTGCTGACATTCACCAGCTGACAAATCCTGCCCTTATGCTTTATAAGTACTTCCTATTGGAACTAACTCCTTCCTATAAGCAAACAGAAAAAAAAGGGACCACTGCCAAAAGGAGAGAGGGAAACACTTAGAATTAGGGCAACTTGGAGTAGGGAAGAAAAAAAGAAACAAAACATAATTTGTTGCATTATGTTCAATTCACCTTAACCTCTCTGGGCCTCAATTTCCTAATGTGGGAAATGAAGGTGTTGGGTTAGACAGCTATATAGTCATGGTTCCTTTCAGATGAAAAAAAAAATTTCTATTTTTAGTGTGTGGTTCATCCAAACTGTAGATTGAACAAATCTTATTTTTATGTTGAAAGCATTTAATGTTTTGATGCTGGTTCAAATGACATCTAATTCCATATATCCTTAATTGTGACTTTTATTAAAAGGAGCTCCAATAGTGAGGTAGAAAGAATCCTTATTTTGGTACTAGAGGTTTTGTTAGAAATTACTTTCTGGGGGCAGCTAGGTGGCGCAGTGGATAGAACACTGGCCCTGAAGTCAGGAGGACCTGAGTTCAAATTTGTCCTCAGACTAAACACTTGACACTTACTAGCTGTGTGACCCTGGGCAAGTCACTTAACCCCAATTGCCTAAAAAAAAAAATTAAGAAAAAAAGAAATTACTTTCTAGATCACAAATCCTTCCTTTAAGTATAATAATAGATACCAGAGAAAAACAAATTATTTGGGGATCATTTATTCTTCTGCTCAATTAGAAACTTTTACCAAGTGCACTTGCAAGGTAGTGTGCTAGACACTGAAGACACAAAGACAAAAATGAAACAGACCCTGTCCTCAAGGAGCTTATAACTCCATTGGTAACATTCTTCAGTTCAACCTGAAACCACTCAAGATGTAAAAAACAAACAAAAAACCCCAACTCTCCTTTCTTCTACCATTCCCCCAACCACTTTCCACCTTCCCCTTCAAAAAAACAAAATCCAACTGCCACACCAAGCTGGGTGAACCCAAAACTGGATTTGATGGCATAACATTTTCTGGTCACTTTAGTGAAGAGAATCCTTCCTGATATTGCCTAAAACTAAACACAAGATTATTGGAGGAGATGGGGCAAGTACAAGGCTCTATGAATGCAATGAAGTTACAGAGTGTATCCAAATGCCTTGAATGGCAAAGAATTAAGGTTTGCTTCCCATCAGTAGAAATCAAATATAAAATATTAATTAAATTTAAAAATTTTAAGAGATAGCTATCAACAGTGACATATCCAGAAATATTTACATTTAAATCTTATATAAATTTATTTACGGGATAGAGACTGGAACTGTGATTCTGTTGTCATTGTTGTTTTTGGTTTTATTTTTGTCTTTTTTTTTTGTTTTGGTGAGACAATTGAGGTTAAGTGACTTGCCCAGGGTCACACAGCTAACAAGTGTTATGTGTCTGAAGTCGCATTTGAACTCAGGTCCTCCTGACTCCAGGGCCGGTGCTCTATCCACTGTGCCACCTAGACACCCCTTGTCTGGTTTTCAAAGAGGACCAATGACATCACAGGGTGATGTCTCGACTTGAGTGAATTGGATTTAATTGAGGCAGATATGCACAAAGTAGTCAGCCCAACCTCTCTTCGAGAGTCTTCAAAATCCAGTGGCAAGACAAAAGTCAAGGCAACTGGCAATGGTCTGGGATGCAGTGGATGACCTTGGCATCTTCAATCTCTGACCAAGTGCTCCACAGCACCTGCTTCAGCTGTCTTGAAACAAATTGCCCTCACCCGCTCAAGAAAGTCTTCATGTGCTTGGGATAGATATCCCCCTAACTTGCCAACGGGTCTGAGGCCTGCTGGTTGCCCTCAACCTGATTTAGCCGTCTACCGAGATGATTTTACTAGGGCATGGTCACTGCACATGCTACAGCTTCTTCGAGCTGCAAGTGGGAGCTGAGTGCCAGGTGGACACCAAAGGTGGATGAGCAGCCCTCACACCAGAGGGGCCAGTCCTCCCTGAACACTCCACAGACCCCTTTCACTGACATAGGGAACTCCTGGGTGAGGAAACTCCCTTTACCAGTGCAGGCCAGCACCTTCTCTACAACTTAAGAGTCTCTGAGAACTGTCCAGGGCACTGAGAGGTTAAATGACTAGCCCAGAGTTGCAAAGCCATTAAGTGTCAGAGGCACTCAAAACCCAGGCATTCTGAGCTTCCAGGCCAGGTCTTTTTTGAATATGCCATGCTTTTTCTTCTCAAACATATTTTTAATAAATATACTAATATACCCACAAATACATTGACATTGAATATAGTAATATATTTTAATATATTTGTACTTCAGTTTTCTATTGTACTCTCCTCTTCAGTGAATCATCAAGGGGTGGCCATACTGAGCCCAGCTGACTAAAGAGGATTAAACAAATGGCTCCTTTGGAGCAGCTGCAAATGTACTTCAGTGCCCCAGCATTCACTCATGCCTTGAGGAGTCAGACAAGCGAGGCCTCACTCAGCCGAAGGTACCTATCAGTACAGCACTCAGAGGCACTCTCCACATCTTTTAAGGTTTTGCCCTAGTGATTTTAGAATATTCGATTTCAGCAGGATGGGCACTGATAATAATCACAGCCCTTCCATCATTTCATCCACAGCCCTAGAAACTTATGAAGTCTGAAAAATGCATCAGTAGGGAGCCAATCTAGTGATGAGCCTCTTCAACCTGAGGCGGGGCCTCAAAAAGCATAACATTCTATTACCAGGCCCAACATCAAAGCCTGTTCAGTCTGACAGAACTTGCCCAAACTGGCATAGTCCTCTAGAGCTGACCTTCTCAAAATTTTTCTACCGGTGACCTCTTTCTGCAGGTGAGCAGCAGTTCAGTGGCCTGAAGGCATATGTAATGCAAAGTGCACATGCTTTGTGTTCTAGAACCAAGGCTGCAGTGAAGTTACTTTCGGGCAAGGGCTACCAGAAACCTCAGATTCATTACATGTTTGATTTTGAATTAATTTTTTGTCATTGCACATTCAGGAGCCTTTTACTGTTGCAAAATTTTTCAAGACCCCCATATGGGATGGCGACCCACAGCTTAAGCACTGATCTAGAGCCCAGGATCACCTCCACACAGTAGAGACAAAAAGACACTAAACAGAGAATAAAAATAAATGAACAATTTGGATTGATTGATAACAATTAAAAAAAAAACCAACCCACAAGTTGTACTGTCAAGTTGAAAAGCATTTATTAGGCACTTACTATACGCCAGGCACAGTGCTAAGCTCTGAGGATACAAAGAAAGGCAAAAATAAGTCCCTGCCCTAAAGGAGATGACAATCTAATGGAAGACAGCTCACATTTACCATATAAAGACTTACAATTTTATATGCTTTCCTTTTTTTCTGTTCTTCTTTGCATAGAAAAATGTTCATAGTAATAAAAAAACTTAACAAATGAACAGGCATATAGATACTGATATGCAAAGGACAGACATAAAAATCAGCTAACACAATAAATCTCAATCACATGTAGAAAAATCCTGATAGTATGATAGAGACAAAGACTGATGTTAGGGTATTTCTGGAAATAATGGGTTTTGTTTTGTCAAGATATTAGAGGACACCCTGTTTCCCAGAGCTAAGGTCCAGGAGGTAGGCTGTAATGCTGAGCCTGACATAGCAACCATCCTTTGCATTCACCCTCTGGCAAAATCATGTAATTATTGTATTGCTTTGACCAGTAAGAGATATTCTCTGGGCTCGGACAGGTACCCATATTCCAGTCACGAAGCTCTGCTATGAATCACTTGTCTCATTACTCCATTATCCCTCACTGTCAGGGCTATAGCTCATTGCTTAGCCACTGGTATAAGTATTGAGATCTTCCTACACTGCTTCGGGTAACCCCACCAGGGGTGGGGCCTCAGCATATGTGTCTAAATCCTCTCCTTGCTTGCAAGCAATTTCTCTCACTTAGAAATTAAACTTCTGTTTGATCTCTGACTCTCCTGTCTCTAGCCTGCTCTGTTTGGCTCCAGCTACCCACAAGTTACAGGCAGTTCCATCCAGTTGGCAGTTTTAAGATGACTAACAACAGAAATAATTATGATAAAAACCATTAGATTTCAACATGTGACTGCTCATTAATTTACCAAGAAAATTTTTCAAAAAAGTAATTGGGTTCAATTGCTAATTACTTCATACTTTACATTGTGTAGTAAAGTTACCTGCTACAAGGAGGCAATGTGAGCCTACATAAAGTTACCATATTTATAAACGGAATCTTCTGCATGCACGGGTAAGCGGCTGCTGAGGTACAAAGGCAGACATCAGAAATGCAGAAGCATATCAATTCCTTTTTATTTAATAGAAAAGAGAACCAAAAATATGAGAGGACCGCTATGGCACTAGTAGGACTGCATGTAGTCTAGAACAATTCTTGGTGCCACCTCCCACCATCTGCACCTCTTTCTTGTCCCTTTTCTCTTAGTCTCACTTGTTTCCAGTTCCTTTCTTCCTTGGTGATTACCCCTTTAGACCGGCCAGGGCCAACTGCCAACCTACTCAGCCTTTCTTCTTCTTACTCAGGGACTAAGAGGTTGCAGATGCCCAGGACACAGATCCAAAAGCAAGACAGGCAACGTCAGATTCAAAGAGCTTTCCTAATTCTGGAGCTTTTGGTTTGTAAAGACTTTTACTATTCCAGATGGTCTGCTGTAAGTATGGTAACTTGTATATAAGTGTGCATGCATGTGCTGTCTTGCCATGTCCAGGTACTGTCAGTGAGAATGAAATGCACTCTCCTTCATGTTAATACCTTTTCTGCCACTCACATGAAAAAATGAGGCAAAATCATCGCTGGTCACGATCAATCCAAAATAAAACTAAGAAAAAGAGGTTTCATGAGTACAACCTAAGCAAGAAAGCCTAGAAACGCTCCCATTACAGTCAATTACAAATGGGTATCAGTCATACACACAGGCAAAGAAAACTAAAGTAGCTGGTGGTCAGTTGGTATCAAGAATCAGCTGGCCCTGAGCTCTGCACCAGAAAGGTAGAAGGGGAATTACAGTCTCATGCTTTTTCTGAAGAGATCTCCAGAAAATATTTTGTTGATAGAAGAAGAAATTTCCTTTTGTTGCTCCTTCCACTTCAGTATATTTTCTATTAGTTCTTCTGTCTCTCCCTCCAAGACACTCATTTTTGTCAAAGCCCTATCCTAAAATATTTTAAAAGAAGAAGAAAATACATTTTAATGAATATGTAGGTTACACAAGTTTAAAGTATGAAAATTAAACACTAGTCAAAACTTCAAAGTTATTTGCAGCTTATTATATGAATAAACAAGACCTAACTTCTGAAAAAGCATGATTTAGAAAGAATAAGTATGTCAACTTCAAAAAGTCAACAAAACTTGACACTTAAAGTTGAACAAAAGAGCTATATGCACTTTATATAACTGAACTAAAGTGGAGCAAAAATAATAAGAAAATATGGTGTCAAAGTATACTTACCATATTTTTCACACTAGAGTCTAAACAAGGAATGTTTCGTATGGCCTCAATATGGGCTTCTAGTTTCTCAATGAAAGTCACTGCCAGCTCCAGCAATTGTACCACATACCTAGGAAAGAGGCAGAAATCATGAGTGGGGAGAGGGGATATCAACTATAACTTTAAGCAAAATTATTTTCTGGGTTTGGTTTTAATTTTTCCTTCTGCCAGAACTTCTGATCTCAGTTGAGAGGATTAAAACCCATCCTACAGCTTAATAACAGACTTGGCTTTCAAAGAAATGTATGGATCAAAAGGTTCAGAAATTATCTCGTTCTTCCTCCTGTCTTTCAGGGGAGCCACACTCTTATCATTCCATGTAAATAAATGTCTATTCATCTAGTTCTTACAGATCCAAAAGGAAAGAGATCAAATAATTATATCTGGAACTTAATCTAACGCTCGCCAACCTTCAAATCAACAATTTTGTGTACCTGTAAATAAAACGCTCCCACAATTTCAACCCATTTCAAACCAAACTTCACACAATAGTAGGTGGAGTAGGGTAATACACTCCATTTAAAAACCATTCTGAGATGTTTGTAATCACAAACACTTTAAAATAATTATTTCTTCTTGGAGGTGGTACTTTGCAGTGTTCATTAATTTCTATGTACCTATGCACTAATGCACTAATATTCATGCATTATTTTACTGCTAGGTTAAAAAAGCTTCAACATAAAGGGCTAAGCCAGGAGTCACTGGTACAGAAAATATGAGGAAGTAGATTTTCAAGTTTTTGTTCTTTTGCTTAACATCTTATATTTGTATAACTATATATTTTTAAAAACAGTCCCACACATACTATCTCATTGGATCCTCACAAAACCCCTTGGAGGCAGGTAAACAATGCAGTTATTTTCTCATCCCCATTCCGAAGGTAACAAAACTAGTGTCTCACCCATTGGGTTTTGTTTGTTTTTGGCGAGGCTATTGGGGTCAAAGCACTTAGTTCATAATAGCCCTGTGAAGTTGTTGCTTGCCTATTTAGTGAGGAAGGCCAGCCATGTAAGTCTTATACCTATTTTACAGATGAGGAAAGAGATTTAGGGAGCTTATGGGACTTTCCTAGGGTCACACAAAATCTAAAAGTTGGAAGGGACTTCTGAAGTCATTTAGTCTAACCCATACTGCAACAAGAATGCCTTCCATTAGAGTACACATCCAATGAGTGGTCATCCCGCCTTTGCTTAAAGACCTCCACTGAGAGGGAATCCACTATTTTCAAGGGAGTCCATTCCAATTTTGTACAGCTCTAATAATTGGTAAATTTCCCCTACATCAAGTTTGAATCTCACTCTTTGCAACTTCCAACCATGACTCCCGGTTGTGCCTTCTGGAGTAAAGCAGATTAAATGTGCCCCTTCCCCTTCCATCTGATAGCTCTTCAAACATCTGAAGACAATCTCTCCTGTGGAAATGGAAAGTCAAAATAGTTTGAATGATTCTTGACCTCTTTGGAGCCTGATGCAATCAGCAACGTCTGGGAAAAAGGAACATCTGGAGGACCTTGGCATCCTTCTTGACACAGTCCCTGCCCTGGATCTGCTCCACCTCAGGGGGCAAATACCTTTGGCAAGCATCTCCCCATTTGATGGTTTGCTTGTCCGATGTTTATTTCAGAGGATGATCACAAAACAAGAGTCATTTCTGTTAACATCTTCCAAAGAGTCCTGAATGATCTTGATGTAGACACATGCTGATAGAAGAGTCTGTAAGGAGGCCATCTGTTCTACTGAATCAAACTGATCCTTTTTGGTAATCAAGAAACAATAAGCACAATAGGATCTCGCTTTCTTTATTTTTCTGTTAACTATGAAATGGCAAAAATGTGGCTTACTGCTGAAGAAAGATTTCTAAAGTCTGCTTATTTCTTACTCATAACCTCACTGAAAATGCCCTCAATCCTTGTAGAGATGACTCCCATGAAGATCTTGTATAGACAGAAGAAAAGGCAGATGGGATAACATTTACTGCCTCCTCTAGGGTAAAATTCAAACTCCCATTTAGCATTTGAGCCTTTCACTATCTGATTCCAGATTATACTCCCTGATGCATTGTATGATTCAGCCAAATCGGATTACTTGCTCCTCTCCTATCCATACACAATATTTCATCTCTTGCCTCCATGCCTTTGCAAACACTGTCTCCCCCACGCCTAGAATGCTCTCCCTCCTCATCTCCAACTATTAAAATCCCTACGGTCCTTTAGGGCTCAGATCAGATGCCACTTCCTTCAAGGATGTCTGTCTTTCCTAATTCTCCCCAATTGTTAATGTTCCACACTCTAAGTCACCTTTTATCTCACGTGTGTATGTGTATATAATATAGATATGCAGATATATAGATACACGCTATATTTACTAATCTATGAAGACAGTGTCTCTTCTCTGTAAAATCAAAACTCCTACAGTTCCAAAGAAGTCATGATGGAAAATGCTATTCACATTCAGAGAAACACCTGATGAAGTCTGAAAGCAGATCGAAGCACATTATTTTCATTTTATTTTTTATGTGTTTTTTTTCCTTTTGGGTCTGTTTCTTCTTTCACAACTTGACTAATACGGAAATATGTTTTACATGATCTCATATATATAACCTATATCAAACTGCTTACTCTTTTACGGAGAAGGGAGGAAAGGGATGGAGGGAGAAAAATTTGGAACTCAAAACATTTTTTAAATGAATGTAAAAATTGTCTTTATGTGTAATTGGAAAAAAATAAAATACTATTTAAAATAAAGAAAAAAAATCAGAACTCCTAGAGGGCAGAGAATGTCTTATTTTTATATTTTTATCCCCAGTACCTACACATAGCAAGTACTTAATAAATGCCTACTGATCAATGAAATTATGACACAAATAAGTGTCAGAGTTGGGATTAAAATCCAGGTATCTCCTAACTCCAAATCCTAACTATCACACACTTCCTTCCAGACCCAGTCAAATGCTATTTCCTCTATGAGGCCTTTACCAATCCCCCTAGCTGGAAATGATTTCTGCCTCTTATGAAAGCTCCAAACATTGCATTAGTACTTCTCTTATAGACTTACAGGTTTGGTTATGCTTACAATTGTCAGAATTATACGATAACTAAGCTCTTCAAGGTCTATGTTTTCTTTACCTTTGTATTTCTCCCAGTGACCCAGAAAAATAACTTGTACAAACTCGATGAATGAATAAAAAATGCCTTGAAAATCACGAACTACAATCACTATCGTGAAAAGGAAAGATGATTTTCACTTTCAGCTCAGCATTTTTCACTTTCAAAAATCTCCATGGAGAAAAACCACTAAATACATTGATCAAAGAAAATCTTAGTAAAACCTAACAAAAGGCAACACAGTGAAGTAGAGAAGGGCCATAAGTGGCTTGCCGCTTGCAGCACACCAGAGGATTTCGGGTGGCCAGTGAAAAGTGTAGAGGAAAACATCCTTTGTATGTAGAGGAAATCCTCTGCTGGACTGCAAGTTGTGCAGGCCAGCTGTAACTGAAATTTAGCATTTTTTTCAATTATTTAAAAACATTCTTCTGAAAAGGGGCCTACAGGCTTCACTAGACTGCCAAAGTGGTCCATGACACAAACAAGTTTAAGAACCAATGGATTAGAGGATCTTTCATCTCCTTTATAGTCCTAACTCCTTTGACTATGACTCTAAAGGCAAAATGTCATAATGTGAAGGGCACTGGTCTTATAACGTGAAGTTCTTTGTTGAGACCCTGGGTACTTAACCTCTCTGAGCCTCAATTTCCTTAGAAGCAAAATGGAGATAATATTATTTATGCTGCTTACCTCACAGGGGGATGGTGATGAAAATCCCTTGTGAATCTTCTAAGTTTATTCCACGTCACTAAAGTTACTTATCTATGAGTTATTTGGTTACATATCACTAGATGGCAACTAACAAAATAATACAGACCCATAACCTGAATTTTCCAAGGCCTGACCTGTGGTAAATGGCTTCTATAGGCAAGTTCTCCTGGCACGCGGGCTTCATCAGTCTATGTCGGAGGGCCCTCTTCTCCTTCAGCACAGTCTCCAAGTGCTGATTCATGCTCTGCAGAGTCTCACACTTTTGAGCTTGATAAACCAAAAGTAGTGAATGTAAAGAGTAAGCAGGATAAAGGATGTTAACTTTGAGGTCACTAATCATTTCTTCTCCCTTTATCACTAGCAGTGATTTTATCTTAAGTAACTCTCAAACCTTCCCTATCCTTAATCCAGATCATCATATCCCAATTATTTCCCCTTTCTTAAATCGACCCCTTTTCTGATTTTATAGCCAAAGCCCTAATTCTCATATACAAACTCTGCCTTCACACATCCAGTATTCTAACAATGCACCAAGAATCAATTATCTTAAGTGCTGTTTCAATTCTCTCAATACCCTTTCTTAAGAATCCTATTTTGGTTTACAATTGCTTACTACTTCACATGAAAATTGGTGACCACGGGGCCGGCTAGATGGTGCAGTGAATACAGTACTAGCCCTGAAGTCAGGAGAACTTGAGTTCAAATCCTGCCTCAGACACATGACACTTACTAGCTGTGTGACCCTAAGCAAGTCACTTAACCCTGACTGCCTCATCAAAAAAATTTTTTTTTAAATAAACTGGTGACCATGTTATCTTCTCCACCCTCCTTTTCTCAGCCTTTAATAATTATCATTTTTGTCTACTTTGAAGCTGAAGTGCTCTGTTCTAGCCAGGCAAATATACCTAGCACCATTCACTGATGCTTGATTTCTGAGTCATTGGTTATATTATATCTCCTAGGTGAAACTCCTTACCCATTCTTCAACATCAAATCTTATTCTTTTCATTTGCTCAGAATTATTTAGTATGTAGGGTCTCTGTATCTCCAGAGCAAGATATTTATAGGTTTGTACTTCAATCACTCATGTTCATGTATAGCTAACTGCTCTATTTGTCCTATCTCTGTAGAACTGACTTTCTAAAGATAGGACCTACATCTTGTACTTCCTTGTACTACATCTTATAACTCCAAGGTATCCTTTATATAACAGAAATTCACTTACCAAAACTGTGAACTTAAGGCATTTATAAATTGATTCATTCTTGGACAGGGTTCTTAACCTGAGATCTGTGAATGTTTTTATCAGGATATTGTGGTTCAAAAATGTTGCATTTCCCAGCTGTAGGTATAAATAGGGCTGTAACAAATTGGAACTTGCTTGCCCCACAGACCAAATAAAATTAAGGACTGAAAGTTCTTCACATCTGATTTAAATAAACAAGCCATTAGACTATGAACACAGTATGTATAATTCATTTTTGTCTTTTTCCTCATTATCAACAGAGATCTAAGAATTGCTCATCTTTCTACAATTTGTATACCATTTTTCAAATTGATGTCCTTTAATTTAGATTGTGTATAACAAATTAACTTTGAAAGATTAAAATGGTTTATGGAAAGAATTATATACCCTTTGTATCTCTTCACCATCTCCTACTGCCCAGCTTCTCACAATTTCACTTCAGAACACAGGAGATGGGGGAGAAGACTGCTAATTTTTTGGCCATCCTTGTCAGAGTTATGGGCAAATGGTGAGGTTGAAATTACCAATAAAGGACGTCTTGAAACCCTTAATCATTTGTTCTTGTTTACTACCTGAAGTGCTCAGGATGTCAGATAAGATATAGAACAATGACATCACAGATCCCAAGCCTTCCTTGAGGACAAGATATTAGACAGTGTTATGCCTTGTCATTTTACAGTTTTACTTAAAGGTGCTTAGTCTCTCCTGTTAGCACAGATAATCAAGAGATGTTGGAAATGCCCGGCAGCTGTCCATTTAACTAAAACCACTTACCTAGAAAGAAAGGGTGAACGACATCTGCTGTATCCTTTTCTAGTGTTAAAAGGTCAAGTTCTAAGGTCTTCTACAAAAGACAAAAATAACATTTGGCTCATTCAGAAAGTAGCTTGAGAAAAAAGAATCACACGAGTAAAAATATATTACTTAGGCCATGCTGCTGATAGGTTTCACTGGAAAAAAGAGGAGGGAAGGAGAGGCTCAGCAATCAGAAAGAAGACACTCTGGCCAAACCCCTTGTAATTCAGTGACATATTCCCTTTGGGAGGTGGTAATAAGTCAAGAAAGAAAGGTGGACTGTCGATTTCAGAATCAGCAAGACTTTCTTTCTGGCAAAACTGGAAAGCAAAAATGGATACTATCACATGTCAAAAGTGACGGCTTTACCTCTCTGATTTCAGCTTGCATATCTTTAATCTGCTTGATTCTGGAGAAGTTTACAAAAAATGGAGCAGGGTTCTTACATGAATCTAGTATCTCCTATTGTGAGAGAAAGAAGACAGCATAAAATTAACAAAGTCAAAAACAACAAGAAAGCATCAGAAGGAATTTCTGTGGGGCACAACCAACTCTGCCTCTAAATACAGACCAGGGTACAACTGAAACAACATGTATCTCCTGTTTCTCAAAACAGCCTCTATTTATAAGGGTAATTACACAATTAGCTTTAAAATAAGACTAAAGAACCAACCAGCAGAGTTTATGCACAGGAATGAATACACATGTGTATATGTTATTAATTACACATTCCCAATTGAAGAGGATACTAACCCTAGAGTTATCAGAAAATCCCAGCTCTTGTACTCTTCCAAATCATAATCCATCCCTGATTTCTTCGATCTCCTTGGAGTTACCAGGTGTAAGTTTCACAAGTATATTTACCCTTTTAAAAAGTTAAAGAAAATCGGACCACACTTTTCTCAAAATGAAAAAGAGACATCAAGTACACAAAACTAGTTTCAGACCACGCTGTTGTCGCAGGAGCCAGAGAAGGGTATGCTCTCCTCTCCAGCTGCTCTGTCATGGCTCCTCCTATAGAGAAGAAGGGGTCAGAAAAGGTGGGCACAGGGAATCAGATGAGGATTAGGACAAAAGGTCAAATTTAACATCCTCATCCTTCTCATGTCCTACGGCTAACAACTCAAAGTAAAACAACAGTAAAGGAAAAGAAATGAGTGGCATACCTTACTAATCACCTTTCTTTGCCTTCCATCCCCTTTTCACAATTAATTCATATCTCCCATACTGAGGGCTCCATCTCCTTTATGGCTCAGTATAGAAAAGAGTGGCTAGCACAAGATCATGTCTCCTGGTCAAATTTACAAACTTTCTTCAGTACTATAAGAAGCTGTCATTTCATTGGTGTGGGCATTCCTTCTCTAAAGAGCTCAAAACCACTCTATAAATTAACATATGATATTTGAGAATTTATCACCCTAAGGTCAGTATGATGACCTACTCCAAATTTAGCTAGACTGATCACCGAATAACAGACACACAGTCCATTGCCGGGAATGAACTCTAAGTCAGGGATCTCCAATGTGCAGTGGGAGCCCTGGCCTGAGTCCAAGTGTTAGAAGAAGGCTTACATTCTACCTTCTTCGAAATAACCAATGATGAGGCTTATCTCCAATACCCGTCACCACTCCCCTATTTAATCCCTTTTCTTCCATTGTGCAAGCTCCTAGGGAGGAGGATTCCTCCCTAGCTAGGTGGTACAGTGCACAGAATGCTAGGCCTGGAGTCAGGAAGAACTGAATTCTAATTTGGCCTCAGACAATTACTAAATTCTGTGGACTTGTGCAAGTTATTTAATCTCTTCCTGCCTCAGTTTCTTCAATTGTAAAATGGGGATGCTGTGAGGATCAAATAAGTTAATATTTGTAAAGAGCTTGACATAGTGCCAGGCACATATTAGGTGCTTAATAAAACTGCTTCTTCTCTTCTCACTTCCTGAGCCAAGATTCAGTCATTTAAGGCAGGTATAACCTACAGGTGCCACTGAAAAATTTGCACTGCATTCCCCCTCCACAGCCACCCTCTTCCAGATAATCTCATGTCTGCAGCAGATGCCCCTCTGAGGGAGGGCAGAGTTTACAGCACTGTGACCTCTCCCTTTTCTGTTTTGTAGGGGACATCCTAACTCCACAGGAAGACCACGCTCTGATGTGCTGTGATCTTCACTGAAGAGCTCACATAACAATCTCTTTCCCCACAAACCCATCCCTCTTCCAAACCTGCCTCTTGTTATTGAGATCACTGTCTTTCTAGCCACCTAGGTTCACAACCTCAGTGTTATCCTTGTCATTTTCAACACCTCATTCTCCCTTTACCTCACATATCCAAACAGTTGCTAAATCTTGTCATTTTACTGTCACAACAACTCTCATTTCCGTCCCCTTCTCACTACTCTGCCTCTCTACAACAGACAACAGAAGCAACTAGGTTTTAGTACATTGGATAGACTTAAGTCAGGAAGACTCCAGTTCAAATTCTCCTTCAGACACCTGGTAGGTATGTGACTCAAAGCAAAGCACTTAAACTTTGTCTGCCTCAGTTTCCTCATTTGTAAAATGTGGCTAATTAGAACCTATCTCCCAGGGTTGTTGTGAGGATCAAATGAGATGGCATATGTAAGGTGCTACATAAAGGCTAGCTATTATTATTACCAGGACCTCATCACCTCTGCATTGGACCAATGTCATAACCTCCCTAATTGGTCTTCACTCCCCAAGTCTCTCCCTTCTCCAATATGTCATCCACATAGCTATTGAAGTTGTTTTCATATGGAGCAAACCTGACCATGTCACTCCCTTACTCAATAAATTCCAGTAAAAGAGAGCAGGAGAAAGGGAAGGTACACCTGTGAAACCCATTTATCCTTATGTATATTTATTACTTTTCACATATATGTATATGTGTACACACACATACACATATATGACCAGATTTCATATTAATCAATATGAATATGAGAACCTAGTGAATTCTATACCCACAGGGAGCTAGTATCTTCTCATGGTGTCAAAATGATTATGTCTTAAGGGTTGTTTAAACTGGGGCCTATCAGTACAACCAGAAGGAAAACAAGCAAGGGCCAATAAGACTACATCAAAGAGCCGTTGTGTATGGGACCGTTTCTAAATTTCCCTGGAAAGAGGAAATCATGACTGTTTTAGGGATGTGATTTATCCTAGGGAAATAAGACTAAAATGTACAAAGAGTGTGTGTGTGTGTGTGTGTGTGTGTGTATGTATACTGGCTGGGGAGAAAAGTTTCTATACTTTGGGAGTTGCTAGTGTTTTCATACATTCTGGTACTACACAACAATGCATCACACTGTAAAAGGAATTGCCAGGATAAGGCTCTATTTTAAAAAGAGACAGGAAAAGGAAAAGGAGGAAAGAATAAAGAAAGTACTGCTCTTTCAAAGACAGGCATTTGAAATCCAGGACTATTTTGCCTACAACAAGGGATGTGGTCACCATCTGAATATATATCCTTACTTATGTATGCAGTTATACCCATGTCCAAATTTCATCTACTAGAATTAAACTCTGCATATGACCACCCTTTCTTCTTATCAATATGAACAGAAAACATGGTTCCTGCCCTTGAGGATTCCAAAATCTAGTTGGGGCAACAGAACACACACCACATACAAAATAAACAATATAAGGCAGTACAAACATGGAAGATAGATCAGATAGCTCACGCAGTGAGTGAATACAATGAAGATGAATCCGGGTAGGCCGGAGTGCTTAGAAAAAGCTTCAAGAATATGTAATTAAATATGTCCAGTCCAATGGGGGAGGGGAGGGATTAATGCATTGTGAAATAGTCTCAATAAGGAGTTTTTCTTTTTTGCGTTGGTAAGCTCTTGAAATCTATGGATACTTTCTCAGAATAATGGTTTTCAATAATTCAAGGAAATGCTAAATTTCAGTTAGAGGCTAATGAAAATAAAGATGTAATGTTCTTCTCATCAAAGTTCACAAATCCCCTGAAATCTACCTTGGGATCCCATAGGGGTTGGTGAATTCCAAGAACCCTTGGCCTAAACTAAATTCAAATGCACCTTGCTTTGCAAAAGGGTTATCTCCCCCCCCCTTTTGCATAAAAACAAAATCCTATTTCCTGCAAAAGGGTTATCTCCCCCCCTTTTTTTTTTGCATAAAAACAAAATCCTATTTCTGTCACATATTTCCATTATCATTTGGAGGAACGTATCTCAGATCATTCTTCCATTAGGAATGGCTCCTAGCCCTTTAGTCTTAAATTTTATTTTGCCTCCATTTCCTATCTCTCAAGTAGTTAGTGTTCTGTAAACAGACACTAAGACACATTAGGGGACTTTAATAAGTAGATACCCTTTTGTACCAGGAATAATTTTCTTTCCTTCCCAATTTCTTTAATAAAAAAAAACCTCAGCAAATAATTTTTTAAAAAACATGTTTAAGTGGAACTTACTTATGAGGTAAGTTATATATAATCTATCTCAACATACCTGATACAGCAACTCAGACCAACAAGCCCGAGTACTCAATCATAACTAGAGTCTAAAATTTCTTTAAAGAGATCCTTTACTTTTGCTGCTCCAGGCTGACCTCTTCATGAACACAGAGAAGTAAATAGATTAGCGAGATGTTACAGAGGTACAATTGGCAAGACTTAGTAACTGATTCAGAGGGAAGTTCATGAACCTAGGTGAGAAGATATAGTGTCCCTGACAGAAAGCGGGAAAAAGCAAGTTTGGGGAAGAGGAGAGAAAGCATAATGAGTTCTGTTTTGGTCATATTAAGGCTTAGATGCCAAAAGGGCACAGAAGTAGAGATCTCCAGCAGTCAGTTGGTGATACGCAAATGTAGTTTTTAGTAGAAGGACAGGGGCTTGATATGTGGATTTTGGAGTCCCCTGTATAGATATGTAATTGAAGCCAGACAAATTTATGTAATCACTAAAGGAAAAGGTGCTGTAAAAGAAGAGGAGAAGGTATAGGGATAGAATCTCATGGGTTACCTATGAAAAAAGGGTAGGAAATAGATGACGAAGCAATAAAGGAAACTGAAAAGGAATAGTTAGAAAGGTAGAAAGAGAACAAGACAATACCAGAACAAAGGAGAATCTGACTCAGTGTTCAATAAACTGGAAAATACAAATCACTTAGGAAAGAATATCTGATAAAAACTGCTGGGAAACTTGACAAGCAATATGGCAGAAATGAGATTTAGACCAACACATTATAACATATTTTACAACACATTCTACATGGATACATGACCTTAATATTAAATATCATGCTATTTTAAAAAATCAGAAGAGAAGCAGATTACACGCCTCTCACAGCCAAGGGTAGGAGATGTAACCTTAACCAAATAAGGGATAGAGACAATTATGGAAGATGACATAGATAACTTTGATTGCATGAAACTTAAAAGCTTCTGCACAAACACAATTAATGCACATAGGATAAGAAGAGG